GAAAAGTCATAACTTCTTCATACAAGATCTGTTCCCGACGTTGTTGATATCCGCGGATTCGTATTCACGTCTACTAAAACTTTCATATACATTATTTATTCTATTTATAGAACTAACACAAGTATTATTCATATACAAATAACATGTATATAAACACATATCGCGTGCGAAGAATTCTTATTTATTCATTTATTTATAAGATAATTTACATTATGTCAGTAACAATTCTTTGAGCAGATGTTTAAGGAAAAACATGGGCTTTACAGTCTGACATTGCCGTCACGCCACACATCACATTATTTAGAACCTTGGTCGTTATGATTTCAAAAATAACACACACACACACACACACACATATATATATATATATATATATATATATATATATATATGTATATATATATAAAGATTTATCATCATTAGGAATTATCTCCTAACTAAATATTTAGAATTTATATCGTTTCTTAAGTTAAATGATTCATATCCTAATTACGACTCATTTTAGGGTTTATGTATTATTATAAATATGATATTCGTCATATAATTAAAAGGAATTTGAGATTTTAATAAAGTTTATGAAAGAAATTGTGAAATTTCTTAAGAACATAGATTGTTCTTATTGTTATTTACTACCGTTAAGTTTGGTTATTTTTCGTTTCGTGTTTATTTTTGCATCATTTGGTATCAGAGCCTAGATAAGATGAATGGTCGTGGAAGATCTCACATACCTACAAACGATCGCAATATATGGGCATGAGGATGGAGTAGCTCGCACTTGAAACTCGTACGATATACAAATAATACAAAAAAAAAACATTATGACCGAATACTTGCGACAACGAGTGCAAGAACTTGAGTTGTTGCATCAAGACTCGCCGAGAGAAAAGACTAATTCAGTACTGAACGTTTGGGATGACAACTACAAGGAGGTCAATTGTTTTTCTGGTTCTGGATTAGATCACCACGAAGGATGATACGATTATAATACATTAAGGAACATTGGTGTGAAGGTTGAGATTCATGAGTTAACATGACATGCTCACCCTCGTCTTATCCTTTAGAAATATACCCTTCGACTTTGTTTAAATTTGAACAAATTGTATGCGAAGAGCAGGATGGAAGTGAGATCGATCCATTTTATGATACTGACTCCGTATATAATCCGTAACCCGTCTACTTAATGACATCGAAGATGGAGACGAAACCATTGAAAAAGAAGTTGGTGTTGAAAACCAAATATTTTCTCCGAAGTACGTGATTACGAAAACTAGTGACTATAATGTCCACAATGAGTTTTTGAGGGTTTTACATATTTCACAAACATAATATTCTACCTAATGATATGCAATAAATCATATGTGAAACATCCGGTGAGCACATCGATATAACCTTTGATCATGAGTGCTTTTCTATTTGGTGCATTTGTGTTTGTTTTGAAGTGTATAAGTTGTTTGCCTTTTGGAAACTTTGGATGAGAGGTATTTGAGACGAAGACTTGAGGACGAGTCATTTGCAAGAAGGGGAGAATGATGCAAGGAGTTTCAAAGATAACTTGAAGATTTATTTTTATTAGTGTTATTAGTTTTCAAGATTTTCTTGTTATGTTAAGATTTATCCTAATTAGGAATTATCTCCTAGTTGGATAAAATGTTAAGAATTTATATTCTTTCTTAAGTTAGATGATTCATATCATGATTAGGAGTCATTTTAGGGTTCTAGATTATTATAAATATGATAACCATCGTAGAATTAAAATAGTTTTGAGGCTTTCATAAAGTATATGAAATAATTTGTGAAAATTCTTAAGAACATATTCTTGTTGTTCTTTGATATCGTTGAGTCTAGTCATTTTCGTTTCGTGTTTATTTTTGCATCACATTAAGGCAATTTGAAGTAAAATTGATGATATATGGTTGTTAAAAGCTTTGTTATCATATATGGAACTTATGAAATCTCATTTGAGACTAAACAATTGTTATGTGTTTTTCAAGTGATTGTATCATCACTATTTGATCTTGGTATAATCATGGTTGGAAGTTAAAATCAACATAATGAAGTGTTAATAAACATTTAGGACCCTTGAAAATGGTTTGGATAAGTTAGGAATTGTTTAGAATAAGTTTGGATATCCCTACATATTAAATCACTTGAAAATATTGTTCAAACGCTTAACTTGGTAGAGTTAGGGCTATGCCTTAGGTTGACTCAGCCGAGTATTTGGCTGTTGGATGCCAAAAATAGTAAAACTTGTTTTAGTCACTAGTTTTGCAAACAAACTCCAAATTTGGTCTAGTTTTACCTATGTTATTTTAAGAACTTACAAATGATTTCAAACCATACAATTTCACCTTTTGAGTTAAAAACTTAATAAGTTATTTAATACACCATCGAAGGGTATTTGACCAAACTATTACTATAATTAGATCATCACTAAGTCCACTAACAAATATAAAAGGGAAGTGAAGTGTGTAAGGATTTTCTAAAAGACTTCAGGTAAGTAAATACCAAAAGTAGATGTCCTTATCATCTATTTTTGATAAATGTCTTGGTTTAATTATAGAACCGTTGTTTGTTATATAGTTAACTACATGTGTGTTGATGCACTCATGAAACATATTTTGAAAGCGTGTTCACTTGGTGATCATCACATTTTATTTGGAAACTTTTTATGCATCCACATTGTGCAATTCACTTAGGATGAATAGACTTGAGTGTTTCTCGAATAGCTGTGGAATTAACTTCCATTTCGTTTGCGTGATGGTTTTGGTTTTCATCCTTACATTACTGTTCAGCTAACATGCTTAGAGATGGACTTTGCAAACCCATTTTATGGTATCATATGAGATGATTACATGTCTGAAAAATGGTTGCTTAGTGTTGGGGCCTCTAAACGGTTTTTAGGTGTGATGTTGCTACCTTATTCAGGTTATTAGACCACCGAGATCCTTAGAATGAAAAAAAACTTGTTTCATAAACCTTTTGGTTTATGAACACTACTTCCTCATAACTCTTATAAGTTTCCATAATTGTAATCGGTATTTCATAACATGCCTTACAAACCTTGATTGCATGACTTTGATTATGATATATATTTATGTGCCATTAGTAGTAACGTCAACCCACTATCAATATACACATACTCTAATATATTTTATGTTTTAAATTTTATAAATTTGTTTAAATACCCTAAGAGGAGAATATAATTACATAACATTTATAATGATTCAGTTGACAAATGGTATCATCATGTACAACACAATGTTCATGATAGATTGTATTGGAACCAATCATGACAAACTTCTTTGCATAAAGAATATCACAATAATTCACAACACAAAGGTGACAATGTACGTATGTATGTGGATAACTAGAAAAATGAAGTCGTAAATTCATTTATCCATTCGTTTTATTTTTCCTCATTTACATTATTTTTGTAATTCTTAATTGTAGCTGGGACATTGTAACTGTTGTATGTTCATTTTAAATAAGTAAAGTTCATGTTTGCTTACCCCATAAATCGACTTTGGGCCTTTAAATTAGTCTCACTAGCACATATTCTACCTAAGATAGTCGTTACAAAATCATTAAGATACTGATACTATATGACGTCAGACATACATATATACAAATACAATATATATCCATTATAACTACATCAAACCGAACGTTACCATAAAAGTATACAATACTTGATATAAATAACTTAGGCAGTACATATACAAACCAATAGCCTTATTCTATTAGTTGCTTATTTCTTCCATCATATGCAAACCTAGGGGTGTAATTGGTACGATACCAATCATTTTTTTCACTAAACCATGTACTGTACCAATTATAGACGGTATAAAAAAATTTCTACCACTACCGTACCGAGTACAGTTGGTACCAACCTATTTGGCTACCAATAAGTTTGATTGATACATGTTTGTAATGGTATATACCAACATGTATGAGAGTTTTTGTGAATCACGACTTCCGTGTTCTTGAGCATTGTGAAACATAAACAAAGTTTTGTAAATGAGACTTTTGTAATGGTTGAGATTGAAAATTTGCTCCGTAATGATTTTATTAACTTCTACCATTAGTTTATAAGTTAAAGCAGCGAAGGAAAATTGGACACACCAACATGAGTTTAAAACTTTAAACTTTATAAATACGGTAAATGCTAATATTTAAGCTCTTAAATCTTAAACACCAAACATACTATATATATATATATATATATATATATATATATATATATATATATATCAAATTGGTTAATATTGTATTACCGTGGTATTGAAAACTTTGTACCACTACCGTACGCTGGTTACTCGATTGGTATGATATTATCAACCAAACATATTGACTACCAAACATATTGGTTGCCAACATTCTTGGTTCAGTTGGTAACACTTTGATTAATTTTCCGTAATACATTTTTATCAGCCCTATGCAAACCAATAGCCACTACATAACACCCTTTTTAATGTTAATGTGAATCAAAGATATCTTACTTTGAAAGTGAATGTTATTTTCTATGTGTGATTAGTAGACTAGTAGTATAATCTTGCTTTTTTACGTTAACAAGCTTGAACATCATACTTAAATATTTGTATGAATTTAAATAAACAATAGTAGAAAGTCTTTAGAAAATTATAAACATTACATTTCAACGTAACTATATCAACAAACATAAAAAAAATAATAATATAAACTATAGAAAAGTCAAAAAGTAAATATATAAAACACTATTTCTTTATTATTTATTTGAAATAGTTATTTTGAATTTAACATGTTAAATAAATGTAACGTATACTTTTCTTAATAGGAAATTATTTGTAAGTAACATATATATTTGCGTAGCAATTGGTAAAGTGTGAGATTTGGGGATGAACTGGCAGGGACAAAAAAGTAATAGTTCACATATAAAACGCGATGATGCATTATGGAATGATGATGATGATGCATCATGGTTGATGGATGGATCATGATAACACATTAAATTTCCATACATCATGCGATTGAGAGAAGAAGTGGATTTGACTTCCTTTGATGAGAGAGAGAATAGAAAGGTAAAGAATGGAATGAGGAAAATTCAATCGGATACAATTCTACTTTGACGTCCGCTAGGAGAACAACACACTCTCTCTCTACTTTCTCTCTCTAAACTTACAGCGAAGAACAGGAATTTCCTCTCATATCTCCAGAAAGAGAAAGATTGAAGACAACCTGTCACTGAAGAAGGTTGAAGTTCTATCAAAAAAAAAACCCTAGAAGTTTGCACACGGAAGACTACCTATTATGTTTGTCTATGAAATAAGGAGAATAGAAGAAAAGTGAACAGTAGACAAGTGTGTCCTGGAGCAGAATTTACATCGCCACTGAATTCGTTACTCTGGTGCGTATTCTGATTATGTAGTTTCCTGAATGTCTTTTTATTATTGTTGCTTTCTTAGATTATTTTATTGAAAAAGGTAAGCTGTTTTTGATTGTAACCCTAGCTAATCACACTCAATTCAGTTCTGAATCGACCTTTCTTTTTATTTTCTTCGAGTCATGCTCTGAGTTGCATTTGATATGTGAAGCTTATTGTTAACTGTGTTTATTTATTTTTTAACACTAGCTTAAATCGTGTTGCTATTTCTGTTAGATTTTCGTTGTTTAACTGTTTAGGTTCTCGAATGAAAGCTTATTTTAGTTATCTTATCGTTCTATTCATCGTCAATATTTAGTTTTAGCTTCTCACGTTTTCCGATTTAAACGTTACGCATATCATATCAAGTTGTTTCTAATTTAGTTTTGTGGGGAGAATGGCGTTAAAAGAGTTAGCACGTATTTTGTGTGTTCAAAGGCTGGATACTGTTAAATGCGTACTTTATTTTTAGAAGAATATGTGTATGTTAACAGATTTACAATTATGCAGAGATCAATGAGAGAGCTCACTGAAGATTGGTACTTTCTAACTGCTAAGACAACACTAGGATGTTCAAGGCTAAACCTTATCTTGGAATTTTCAGTAATAGACTCCTGTTTGTTAACATTCAACAATATAAGCCAGTTGTCAAGATTTTCCACTCCTTTTGGTGACCAAAAAGGACTCAGGAGTGCAAACAAACTGCCAATTGCTTGATGGTTTGAGTGATACCTTACATGCTTACTTGTCTGATAGCTCTCTCAGTGTGTTAGATCCTTAGGCTCAAAAAATTTTGTGAGTTGATGTCGTTTTAGGTTGTAGCTGTTATTTAGAAAAGTTTTGACAGTTTTTTCTTTTGGAAGATGGTACCTCCAGGGCCACCCACTCCACTTGCTGGTGCGCAATCTGTTCCATCTTCCTTGTTGCGGTCAAATTCGGGTTTATTGGGTGGTCAAGGGGGCTCTATGCCTTCTCAATCCGGCTTTCCTTCCCTTGTTTCACCACGCACTCAGTTTAATAACATGAACATGCTTGGAAATGTGCCAAATGTATCTTCCCTCCTTCATCAATCTTATGGTAATGGAGGGCCAAGTTCAGGGATGTCCAGCTCCGGGAATACCCTCAGGGGTATAATTGACAATGGAGCCGACACTGATATTTTGTCCAACATAGGAAACGGGATGGGTTTCAATGCCCCTTCTTCATCTCTTGGTCCATCAAATATGGTACACTCAAATGCACCAGGTCAAGGTCAAGTCCCTGGTCAACATTTTCCAAATTCATCCGGGAACCAGATCTTGCCAGATCAGCAACAGGGCCAACAGCGTGAACCTTCAAACATGCGACAGACTCAGCAGTCTTTGCAGCAGTATGGTGTCCCCAACAATAACCATCAACAGCAGCAGTATCAAACAAGTTTAGGTGGTGTTGGACAAGTGAAAATGGAGCCACAGGTGGCAAATGACCAACACGGGCAAAACCCTCAACAGATGCAAGCCTTGAGAAACCTTGGTCCGGTTAAAATGGAATCACAGGTTCAAACCATGAGAAACTTACCACCTGTAAAAATGGAGCCCCAACACTCTGACCAGTCATTGTTTCTGCATCAACAGCAACAGCAGCAGCAACAACAGCAGCAGCAGCAACAACAACAGCAGCAACAGCTGCTTCACATGTCCAGGCAATCTCCTCAGGCTTCTGCTGCACAAATGAATATGTTGCAGCAACAAAGATACTTGCAGCTACAACATCAACAACAACAGCAGCTTTTAAAGAGTATTCCTCAGCAACGCTCCTCAATTCAACCACAGTTTCAACAACAAAATTTAGCAATGAGGTCAGCTGCAAAACCTGTGTATGAGCCAGGAATGTGTGCAAGGCGGCTGACTCACTACATGTATCAGCAACAACATAGGCCTGAAGTAAGACTTGCATGATCAAAAACACATTAGTAGACTAAGGTATAGTTTGGACTGTTTTAATGTGGTGTTTGTTCTTTATTCTTTTGCAGGACAACAACATTGAGTTTTGGAGAAAATTTGTTGCTGAATACTTTGCACCTAATGCTAGGAAGAAATGGTGTGTTTCTTTGTACGGAAATGGACGTCATACTACTGGAGTTTTTCCTCAGGTGAGTTGCCAGAGAAAAACTTTTGGCTGTATATCAGTTATGTCAGAGACTCGATAAATATCAACAATATTTGGTTTTAAAGATAGCTTTATGATCATGCAGGATGTATGGCACTGTGAGATATGCAATAAGAAACCAGGCCGTGGCTTTGGTATGTGTCTTTTTGTTTTCCATACCCCAAGTATTTTTGTTTATTAGTTTTACAGTTGCTTTGTGTCTTTAGCTAATTAATATGTGTGAATGTATTTTCAGAGGCTACTGTGGAAGTTCTTCCCAGGCTTTTCAAAATAAAGTATGAAAGTGGGACACTGGAGGAGCTTCTTTATGTTGATATGCCTCGAGAGTATCAGAATTCTTCGGGTCAAATTGTCTTGGACTATGCAAAAGCCATACAAGAAAGTGTTTTTGAGCAACTGCGGGTTGTACGTGATGGTCAACTACGGATTGTCTTCTCTGCAGATTTGAAGGTTTATCATTTATGTTTGATATTTGTGTCATAAATAGGTGGATTTTGGTTGAGTACATGTTTACTAAATCGTTTTTCTGCAACATGCAGATATGTTCTTGGGAATTCTGTGCTCGGCGCCATGAAGAGCTTATTCCTAGGAGATTGCTGATACCACAGGTACTGATAATAATTTTTTTGGAAAAAAAATGCAAGAAACAACAATGAACTTTACAGATTTATTATTATAGCACTGTACTTTCATATCTTCTTATTACAGCACTGTAATTCAAAAAATATAAGTTATCACATTGCTATAATGGGTAGATTTGTCAAAGTACAATGCCCTAATAAGAAATAATTTAACAGTAAAGTTGGAAGTACGATGCTATAGTAAAAATAAAATATATATTGTTATTTTGTTGATATATTTGTTAATGTTTGATAATACAAACAAATAAGTTAATCTCTTGATAGTCACATACTGAGCTGTTGACTTTCTTTTACAGGTTAGTCAACTTGGTAACGCAGCTCAGAAATACCAGGCTTCAACTCAAAGTGCTTCATCAAGTTTATCTGTACCAGAATTGCAGAACAATTGTAATATGTAAGTCTCAAACTTGGTTTTTACCTTTAATGTTTTGATGGTTTCCATGTCATATGTTTCACTGTATGTTCCTATAATGTTCTTTAATTCTCTCTCCACATATCACACATGGACACACAAATCTTTTTGCTTTCTATTTACAGTTTTATAAGTTCTATTTGACAACAAAATCATTTGGAAGACTATCGTTTTTCAATAATAAATTTATCTCTTTAAACAAAAGTAGTATATTAATCAATGTTGGTAATTATTGTTGCAACTTTTTAAGATTTTTACTTTAAACGTAACTGGTATGCATTTAGATTTTTACCTCTAAACACATACTCACCTTTGAATTTGTATGTTAGAATCAAGATTTATAAAATTTATAATCTTTCAGGTTTGTTGCTTCAGCTCGTCAATTGGCGAAAGCATTGGAAGTTCCATTAGTTAATGATTTAGGGTATACAAAGCGATACGTCCGATGCCTTCAGGTAATCTTTTTATACAAATGGTTTTTACTTTTTACTTTGTTCCTTCTTCTACTTGTTCCATAACATGATATTTTGTTGGCTTTTTTCTGCAGATATCAGAAGTGGTTAATAGCATGAAGGATTTGATTGATTACAGCCGAGAAACTAGGACTGGGCCTATGGGTAAGCTTGTTAAATTTGTTTTACTTAAATGTCAATAATGTTTTAATTTGCACACTTGTCTCATATTTAGTAACTGTCTACATATTGTTAAAAATATATTAAATTATCCAGTAAATGAGACAACAAATCGAGTTATTTTTGACTGGATCGATTAAAACCATCTAGATTAGATCCATCTAAACACTAAACATCAATAAAAACGCCAAGTAATTGTAATTGTGTATCATACAAATCTCTAAAGCGACTCAATTATTTGAATAAAACCTATATTTTCTCAGGACAATTGTATTGCACAATTGATGGCTAGATTTTTACCCTTGTGGTTTTTGGGTTTATTTACTTCTAAAGTAATTTATTATAAAGAAATTTCCAAAAACATTATACAATTATGCTACATTAACATACGGAAATCTACTTTGTTATGTATTTCAATCCAATAAGATACATCAAACTTTACTCTAGCATATTGAATTCTGTAACTTCGGCACTATTTGAATCAGGTAGTATTTGAAATTTGAATAATATAGTCCGTCGGTTAATGTTTTCATTTTTCAAATCCAAACCAAGTGTGTGTGTGTGTGTGTGTATTTACAGATTTTTATATATTTTTATACTATATTATATAAGTTAAGAACCAATAGTAAATATTGATAATTTGGTGCATATAGTAGTTTATAATTATCAAATAAATAAAATTTCCGTTACCTTTTTGTGTGTGTGTGTATATGTATATGTATGTATGCATATCTGTGTGTGTATACATATACACATTGATTCTCGTTAGACAACCCATTTTTTAGTTTTATCTATATTAATGTTCTCATTTTCTTTGTTCATCATCACTAATTTAATTCGCAGTCTATATCTTTATACATGAAATCAAGTAATATGTAATTCATCTTGGGATACTAAAGCTTAAACAGCATTGTTGAAGGTTAATAAACAAGTAAATAGCAAAAAGGTTGAAATATACATATACAAGTAATGTAATAACAAATTAAGTTTGTGAAGCATTTACGACCGACGTAATAAACACAAAGAAATGGCATAATCACATCATTCGAAATTAGATGTAAACAAATTAACAAACCACACACCTAGACGTTTTTTTATTCTTGAATTATCATAAACTTATACAATGAGTTTAGTAGAGACTTAACATGTACATGGCCTTCAGTTATGAAAACCGTAATGCATTTAAGCTAAAAAACAAAGAATCCGACGGACAAAATGCTCTTATTATTGTACAACAAAAATATTTAATAATATTATTTAAAAACTAAAATTATTTTTAAAATATACCATTAAACTAAACATAAAATTAATAAGATATTTGAAAAGGAAGCCTTTTAAAATATAATTTCTTTCTTTATAAAACTGAATAATTAACATTTAGATTTATATGACGAAATAAACATATGTGAACACAAAACCACTCGCGTGATGTTTTTCTTTGTCTTCGTTACTTATCAAAGTTGATCATATCTTTTTGTCAACATAAGATGATTAACTCTGCTTGGCTTCATTTATAAATGCAGTACAAGTTACAACAACAAAAAATCATAGTTTTTTTTTTGGTCTAGCGGTCTAGCCAGACATAATAGTAATATGATTTTATAAAACAAATATCGCAGTGTATAATAATAAAAAACATAAATAATATCAACCAAAAATATATTTTTATCAACTTCTCTTCATCCTAAGACCCTTAACTAAAAATATTATATATTTTTAGAAAGTAATTCAAAAAGAGTTGATCTCATATACCGTATAACTTATTAAGATGTAAAAATGTATATATGTAGCCAAATTACTCGCATATAAATATGAATGATTTACTATGATAATCAAGTTATAGAAAAATTACCTTTAACAAATGTATGTAACTTCTTTCAGCTG